CTTTAAGTTCATCCGTAAGCCATGGCGCTGGGGTATGTTTTATTTTGATAGCTCGTAAAGGGGCATGTACATCATATAACTTGGTTATTATTGAGTTAAACTGATTTATTTTCTCAGCCATACATACAGCAGCTATAACAGGTGACCAATCGACCTCTTTAATGTCACTACGCAATCTCACAGTATCCATACCACCAAAATTACGCTGATAGATTATTTTGGACTTAGCTTTAGGAGGACGGATCTTGAAAGATAAATAAACAAGATCATGGTAAGAAAATGCTTCCGCAGCGCATTGCCCATATTTTTCCACGTGTTGCAAGGAGGTCACGAAAATTAGGTCAAGGAGAGATGGAATAGAATTAGGGAAATGATGCGTAGCTGAAAGAGGAAGTATATGCATATTGCAAGCCTGCACAGCGGATTCCAAGGCAGCAGCACGGCTATCCTTTTTCAGCAGGCATGTATTAAAGTCTCCCATAATAATTGTATGATTAAAAGATGGTGTAAGATCTTCTAGAAGTTTTTCTAAGGAGGAGAAATAGTTAATGCGCATGGAAGGGGAATAATAGACTCCGAGAAGTAATTTTGTGTGGGAAAGTAAAATTTCAATAAATAAGTGTTCACCAGCATCTGTGGGAGGTGGCTGTGCTGACATACTTATAATCGAAAAAGGAATTTGTAAACGTAAATATATGGCAACACCACCACCGCCGCTGCCGGTTCTATCATTGCGGATAAGTCGAAAGCCTGGAAGAGAATAAGATGTGGACAGGAGGCAAGGTTTTAGCCAAGATTCGGAGACTAGTATTGCATGAATATTATGCTGGTCGAGTGACGCCAACAAATCTGAATAATGTGCTGGAATACTTTGGGCATTGATATGAATAACATTGAAGTTCTTAGGTGCGTCCGAAAAATGATCATCCAAAACATCAGACAAAGGTGGAAAGCTAAGCATGTTACTATTACCACTATTACTATTGAAACTGTGTGTTGACACAGATACGTAGTCGTCTTCATCATAGTCACTATCAGTATTACTCAGCATTGTATACATTAATAATAAATAATTATAATAAAAAAAAAAATATATATATAAATATATATTTATATATATATATACAAATAAATATATATTTGTGCAATAATAATAAGTAAATGTGTAATAAACATAAATATATTATCGTGCAATTAAAATTAAAATTACTTAACTGCTTTTACTTATGGGCACTCCACCCGCCGATTGCATGAATAAGATGCTTATTTTAATATAATGAAATATTACTTAGTTCACTTTTATATAACCTATAGAATTAAAAAAAAGAAAATGCTAAAAGGCTGGTATCCAAATATAAAGACAAAATTTGACACATTAAAAAAAAAGAATAAGATTGACATAATTGACATTCGACATTGACATTTCACGTTGACAATATTTTTTTATTTAAAATTTGTCAGTTGAAGTTGTCATTCGGTAAAATTACAAATAAAAGTAATAAATATGAGATTAAATGTGGGTACATCGTCTTAGTCAGTTTGTAAGTAATTTGAACACAAAGCACAACGAATATTAACGCACCAGTAAATTGGCATAGTAATGGGACAACAAGTTGCATACAATCAACAGATTAATTAACTTGCAATAAAGCTATTTTTTTATATTAGCTCGCCTGGTTTTGGATGTAGTAACTATTTCCTTGACTTGTGCGGCTGATATTTGAGGTTCTGGGTCCGGCGGTGGCGCGATCATATGTAATTCTGCGAGGCTGCTAATACGATGTTTCGACCCATCGGGACACAATATATGGATGAAGCCATCTCGTGACCAACACTTCTTGACTCCAAAACGCTGCCTGGCCATCATGAAAGTGTTATGACGCAGTTTAGTTAAAAACTCTGAGACAGTAGTGTTTGAACCCTTCAAATTAGTTTTCGCGAACCATATTTTGTCACGAATAGTAGTATTACACAGGTTTACCAATATAGGACGGGATTTCTCTGAATTCACTCGCCCCATCCTGTGGCATCGGCTAATGCTGTCAGCTGTGAAATCAGCCATTTTCAGCTGGTCAATTACTACGTCTTTAACAACTGAGAATGTGTCTTCGTGTCTGGCTTCTGGAACTCCATGGATAAGCAGGATCCTCTTACGACTGCGCATTTCCTGTCGGTCAACCTCGAGCACAAGCAAGTCCAATTGGTGCTGTAGTGCAGACAGACTCTTGAGGGTTAGTTCCTTGAAAGTTGCAAAGTCGGCAGCTATACCGGTTGTATCGGAGTTCGCGAATGAAGCCTTTTGCAGACGTCTCTCAAATTCTTCCATCCTCCGCCCAAACTGCTCTGGTGTCTTGTAGGCTCAGCTTTTGGTTATACATTGTGAATTTATGTATATCAGTGAGAAATACGTGATAGTGAAAGTTGGCAGGTGAAGTGTACCCTTTCTAATTTATTTTGTACATAGAATATTAACTTTATAATAGCTTGACTATTTTTAATTATTAATATAAGTTGGAGCACTTTAAAACGCGGGTCACTGTTCTACCTCACCAGAAAAAAAGTAATAAACACCTACTCAACAAAATACTAGATTTATATACCCAAATAGTACTTTTAATTTACGATGTTAAACACGATCACAAGTTATAGGTAAAGGTCAAAAGTCAAGACGAGTAATGTAATAGTATTAATTTAATTTAAGGCAAACTAAGCACAGATTTATTTGGAATAAATAATTAATAGGGTGTTCCGGGTACGGAACAGGTCAGATCAAATGTAATCAGAGGTTTCCAAACCACGCTCTGCTACCAAAATGTTAGGGAAAATACTCTCTGCTACCAAAATGTTAGGGAATTTACTGTGGAAGCGTCTGTCTCGTACCTGTATGGTTCTGCGGATTTCTTGGGCTTCAGGGTCTAGAAGATATCTTCGCTAGCTCTCCAGTTTCACAGTAGGTTTAACACAGTTCTAATTTATTTCACAACACAATGCGCGCGCGCGTCAAGGCCGCTGTATGGTCAGTTCAGTACTGTAGGTAAGGGAGGGGAACAGAAACCGCGGGAACAGAAACCGCGGGAACACTAATGGACTCTAATATAATAATCTGTGCTTACAATGGTACAGGGTAGATTTTGAATAGTCATATTTACTCATATTTGATTAGGAGCCTCAAAAATAAGTTTCAAGCTTATAGCTTCAAAAATGACAATTCTTCCATACATCTCCCCTTTCTATCCCTTACAACCCTTTTTTCGCATTAATAAGCCTACGTCCTTTCTCAGGGCCTAGTCTATCTGTGTACCAAATTTGATTTAAATCGGTTCAGTAGTTGTGTAAGCGAGACAGACAGACAGACAGAGTTACTTTCGCATTTATAATATTAGTAAGGAATAAGGAAAGTAAGGAAGTAAGGATAAGGATAAAATATAATTTCTTCTTATAAGTTAGGATAATATACTGTAGAATAAGGTCTGACTTGGCTAGTTTTCATATATGAAATTTACTGTAGCCTTCGCAAGTTCTAAACATGTTACTTGTCGGTTCCTATTTTATTATTAGATCAGTTCTCGCTCGAACGTCAGTGAGTGTGCGCGAGCGCATCGCATATTAAACGTACAATTGTGTATTATAACGAATTCTTTGATAAATTTATATTAGGCAAAATACTTAAACATGGAGTGTCAAAAGTGTAAAAAACCATTGTCTAAAAGAGGAACACATTTCCACTGTAATGGGCAATGCCAAGGTATTTTTCATAAAACTTGTGTGAAGGGACTGGCAGCTGATTTAAAAGCGGGTAGGAGCCGGCTGTTTGTTGTTCAGCAGGCATGTATTAAAGTCTCCCATAATAATTGTATGATTAAAAGATGGTGTAAGATCTTCTAGAAGTTTTTCTAAGGAGGAGAAATAGTTAATGCGCATGGAAGGGGAATAATAGACTCCGAGAAGTAATTTTGTGTGGGAAAGTAAAATTTCAATAAATAAGTGTTCACCAGCATCTGTGGGAGGTGGCTGTGCTGACATACTTATAATCGAAAAAGGAATTTGTAAACGTAAATATATGGCAACACCACCACCGCCGCTGCCGGTTCTATCATTGCGGATAAGTCGAAAGCCTGGAAGAGAATAAGATGTGGACAGGAGGCAAGGTTTTAGCCAAGATTCGGAGACTAGTATTGCATGAATATTATGCTGGTCGAGTGACGCCAACAAATCTGAATAATGTGCTGGAATACTTTGGGCATTGATATGAATAACATTGAAGTTCTTAGGTACGTCCGAAAAATGATCATCCAAAACATCAGACAAAGGTGGAAAGCTAAGCATGTTACTATTACCACTATTACTATTGAAACTGTGTGTTGACACAGATACGTAGTCGTCTTCATCACAGTCACTATCAGTATTACTCAGCATTGTATACATTAATAATAAATATTATAATAAAAAATATATATATATATATATATATATACAAATAAATATATATTTGTGCAATAATAATAAGTAAATGTGTAATAAACATAAATATATTATCGTGCAATTAAAATTAAAATTACTTAACTGCTTTTACTTATGGGCACTCCACCCGCCGATTGCATGAATAAGATGCTTATTTTAATATAATGAAATATTACTTAGTTCACTTTTATATAACCTATAGAATTAAAAAAGAAAATGCTAAAAGGCTGGTATCCAAATATAAAGACAAAATTTGACACATTAAAAAAAAAAAGAATAAGATTGACATAATTGACATTCGACATTGACATTTCACGTTGACAATATTTTTTTATTTAAAATTTGTCAGTTGAAGTTGTCATTCGGTAAAATTACAAATAAAAGTAATAAATATGAGATTAAATGTGGGTACATCGTCTTAGTCAGTTTGTAAGTAATTTGAACACAAAGCACAACGAATATTAACGCACCAGTAAATTGGCATAGTAATGGGACAACAAGTTGCATACAATCAACAGATTAATTAACTTGCAATAAAGCTATTTTTTTATATTAGCTCGCCTGGTTTTGGATGTAGTAACTATTTCCTTGACTTGTGCGGCTGATATTTGAGGTTCTGGGTCCGGCGGTGGCGCGATCATATGTAATTCTGCGAGGCTGCTAATACGATGTTTCGACCCATCGGGACACAATATATGGATGAAGCCATCTCGTGACCAACACTTCTTGACTCCAAAACGCTGCCTGGCCATCATGAAAGTGTTATGACGCAGTTTAGTTAAAAACTCTGAGACAGTAGTGTTTGAACCCTTCAAATTAGTTTTCGCGAACCATATTTTGTCACGAATAGTAGTATTACACAGGTTTACCAATATAGGACGGGATTTCTCTGAATTCACTCGCCCCATCCTGTGGCATCGGCTAATGCTGTCAGCTGTGAAATCAGCCATTTTCAGCTGGTCAATTACTACGTCTTTAACAACTGAGAATGTGTCTTCGTGTCTGGCTTCTGGAACTCCATGGATAAGCAGGATCCTCTTACGACTGCGCATTTCCTGTCGGTCAACCTCGAGCACAAGCAAGTCCAATTGGTGCTGTAGTGCAGACAGACTCTTGAGGGTTAGTTCCTTGAAAGTTGCAAAGTCGGCAGCTATACCGGTTGTATCGGAGTTCGCGAATGAAGCCTTTTTCAGACGTCTCTCAAATTCTTCCATCCTCCGCCCAAACTCTGCTCTGGTGTCTTGTAGGCTCGGCTTTTGGTTATACATTGTGAATTTATGTATATCAGTAAGAAATACGTGATAGTGAAAGTTGGCAGGTGAAGTGTACCCTTTCTAATTTATTTTGTACATAGAATATTAACTTTATAATAGCTTGACTATTTTTAATTATTAATATAAGTTGGAGCACTTTAAAACGCGGGTCACTGTTCTACCTCACCAGAAAAAAAGTAATAAACACCTACTCAACAAAATACTAGGTTTATATACGCAAATAGTACTTTTAATTTACGATGTTAAACACGATCACAAGTTATAGGTAAAGGTCAAAGGTCAAGACGAGTAATGTAATAGTATTAATTTAATTTAAGGCAAACTAAGCACAGATTTATTTGGAATAAATAATTAATAGGGTGTTCGGGTACGGAACAGGTCAGATCAAATGTAATCAGAGGTTTCCAAACCACGCTCTGCTACCAAAATGTTAGGGAAAATACTCTCTGCTACCAAAATGTTAGGGAATTTACTGTGAAAACGTCTGTCACGTACCTGTATGGTTCCGCGGACCCCTTGGGCCTCAGGGCCTCGAAGATATCTTCGCTAGCTTTCCAGTTTCACGGTAGGTTTCACAGTTCTAATTTATTTTAATTCACAACACAATGCGCGCGCGCGTCAAGGCCGCTGTACGGTCCGTTCAGTACTGTAGGTAAGGGAGGGGAAGTGAAAGCACGGGAACAGAAACTATGGGAACACAAACTAACGGACTCTAATATAACAATCCGCGCCTACGATGGTACAGGGTAGATTTTGAATAGTCATATTTACTCATATTTGATTAGGAGCCTCAAAAATAAGTTTCAAGCTTATAGCTTAAAAAATGACGATTCTTCCATACAATCTTTCATCCCCAATTTTAACCCCTTACAACCCTTTTATCGCATTAAAAAATAGCCTATGTCCTTTCTCAGGGTCTAGACTATCTGTGTACCAAATTTAATTTAAATCGGTTCAGTAGTTTTTACGTGAAAGCGAGACAGATAGACAGACAGACAGACAGAGTTACTTTCGCAATTATAATATTAGTAAGGAATAAGGAAAGTAAGGAAGTAAGGATAAGGATAAAATATAATTTCTTCTTATAACTTAGGATAATATACTGTAGCCTAAGGTCTGACTTGGCTAGTTTTCATATACGAAATATACTGTAGCCTTCGCATGTTCCAAACCTGTTACTTGTCGGTTCCTATTTTATTATTAGTTCAGTTCTCGCTCGAACGTCAGTGAGTGTGCGCGAGCGCATCGCATATTAAACGTACAATTGTGTATTATAACGAATTCTTTGATAAATTTATATTAGGCAAAATACTTAAACATGGAGTGTCAAAAGTGTAAAAAACCATTGTCTAAAAGAGGAACACATTTCCACTGTAATGGGCAATGCCAAGGTATTTTTCATAAAACTTGTGTGAAGGGACTGGCAGCTGATTTAAAAGCGGGTAGGAGCCGGCTGTTTGTTGTTCAGCAGGCATGTATTAAAGTCTCCCATAATAATTGTATGATTAAAAGATGGTGTAAGATCTTCTAGAAGTTTTTCTAAGGAGGAGAAATAGTTAATGCGCATGGAAGGGGAATAATAGACTCGAGAAGTAATTTTGTGTGGGAAAGTAAAATTTCAATAAATAAGTGTTCACCAGCATCTGTGGGAGGTGGCTGTGCTGACATACTTATAATCGAAAAAGGAATTTGTAAACGTAAATATATGGCAAACCACCACCGCCGCTGCCGGTTCTATCATTGCGGATAAGTCGAAAGCCTGGAAGAGAATAAGATGTGGACAGGAGGCAAGGTTTTAGCCAAGATTCGGAGACTAGTATTGCATGAATATTATGCTGGTCGAGTGACGCCAACAAATCTGAATAATGTGCTGGAATACTTTGGGCATTGATATGAATAACATTGAAGTTCTTAGGTACGTCCGAAAAATGATCATCCAAAACATCAGACAAAGGTGGAAAGCTAAGCATGTTACTATTACCACTATTACTATTGAAACTGTGTGTTGACACAGATACGTAGTCGTCTTCATCACAGTCACTATCAGTATTACTCAGCATTGTATACATTAATAATAAATATTATAATAAAAAATATATATATATTTATATATATATACAAATAAATATATATTTGTGCAATAATAATAAGTAAATGTGTAATAAACATAAATATATTATCGTGCAATTAAAATTAAAATTACTTAACTGCTTTTACTTATGGGCACTCCACCCGCCGATTGCATGAATAAGATGCTTATTTTAATATAATGAAATATTACTTAGTTCACTTTTATATAACCTATAGAATTAAAAAAAAGAAAATGCTAAAAGGCTGGTATCCAAATATAAAGACAAAATTTGACACATTAAAAAAAAAAAGAATAAGATTGACATAATTGACATTCGACATTGACATTTCACGTTGACAATATTTTTTTATTTAAAATTTGTCAGTTGAAGTTGTCATTCGGTAAAATTACAAATAAAAGTAATAAATATGAGATTAAATGTGGGTACATCGTCTTAGTCAGTTTGTAAGTAATTTGAACACAAAGCACAACGAATATTAACGCACCAGTAAATTGGCATAGTAATGGGACAACAAGTTGCAACAATCAACAGATTAATTAACTTGCAATAAAGCTATTTTTTTATATTAGCTCGCCTGGTTTAGGATGTAGTAACTATTTCCTTGACTGTGCGGCTGATATTTGAGGTTCTGGGTCCGGCGGTGGCGCGATCATATGTAATTCTGCGAGGCTGCTAATACGATGTTTCGACCCATCGGGACACAATATATGGATGAAGCCATCTCGTGACCAACACTTCTTGACTCCAAAACGCTGCCTGGCCATCATGAAAGTGTTATGACGCAGTTTAGTTAAAAACTCTGAGACAGTAGTGTTTGAACCCTTCAAATTAGTTTTCGCGAACCATATTTTGTCACGAATAGTAGTATTACACAGGTTTACCAATATAGGACGGGATTTCTCTGAATTCACTCGCCCCATCCTGTGGCATCGGCTAATGCTGTCAGCTGTGAAATCAGCCATTTTCAGCTGGTCAATTACTACGTCTTTAACAACTGAGAATGTGTCTTCGTGTCTGGCTTCTGGAACTCCATGGATAAGCAGGATCCTCTTACGACTGCGCATTTCCTGTCGGTCAACCTCGAGCACAAGCAAGTCCAATTGGTGCTGTAGTGCAGACAGACTCTTGAGGGTTAGTTCCTTGAAAGTTGCAAAGTCGGCAGCTATACCGGTTGTATCGGAGTTCGCGAATGAAGCCTTTTGCAGACGTCTCTCAAATTCTTCCATCCTCCGCCCAAACTCTGCTCTGGTGTCTTGTAGGCTCGGCTTTTGGTTATACATTGTGAATTTATGTATATCAGTAAGAAATACGTGATAGTGAAAGTTGGCAGGTGAAGTGTACCCTTTCTAATTTATTTTGTACATAGAATATTAACTTTATAATAGCTTGACTATTTTTAATTATTAATATAAGTTGGAGCACTTTAAAACGCGGGTCACTGTTCTACCTCACCAGAAAAAAAGTAATAAACACCTACTCAACAAAATACTAGGTTTATATACGCAAATAGTAATTTTAATTTACGATGTTAAACACGATCACAAGTTATAGGTAAAGGTCAAAAGGTCAAGACGAGTAATGTAATAGTATTAATTTAATTTAAGGCAAACTAAGCACAGATTTATTCGGAATAAATAATTAATAGGGTGTTCCGGGTACGGAACAGGTCAGATCAAATGTAATCAGAGGTTTCCAAACCACGCTCTGCTACCAAAATGTTAGGGAAACTACTCTGCTACCAAAATGTTAGGGAATTTACTATGTATATATATAGGGAAAAGCGTCTATCACGTACCTGTATGGTTCTGCGGATTTCTTGGGCTTCAGGGTCTCGAAGATATCTTCGCTAGCTTTCCAGTTTCACAGTAGGTTTAACACAGTTCTAATTTATTTTAATTCACAACACAATGCGCGCGCGCGTCAAGGCCGCTGTATGGTCAGTTCAGTACTGTAGGTAAGGGAGGGGAACAGAAACCGCGGGAACAGAAACCGCGGGAACACTAATGGACTCTAATATAATAATCTGTGCTTACAATGGTACAGGGTAGATTTTGAATAGTCATATTTACTCATATTTGATTAGGAGCCTAAAAAATAAGTTTCAAGCTTATAGCTTCAAAAATGACGGTATTTCCGTACAACCTTTCATCCCCTCTTTCAACCCTTAACAACCCTTTTTTCGCATTAAAAAGCAGCCTTTGTCTTTACTCATAGTCTAGACTATCTGTGTACCAAATTTGATTTAAATCGGTTCAGTAGATTTCAGGTTCAGGAGTGACAGCGAGACAAACAGACAGACAGACAGACAGAGTTACTTTCGCATTTATAATATTAGTAAGGAATAAGGAAAGTAAGGAAGTAAGGATAAGGATAAAATATAATTTCTTCTTATAACTTAGGATAATATACTGTAGCCTAAGGTCTGACTTGGCTAGTTTTCATATATGAAATTTACTGTAGCCTTCGCAAGTTCTAAACATGTTACTTGTCGGTTCCTATTTTATTATTAGTTCAGTTCTCGCTCGAACGTCAGTGAGTGTGCGCGAGCGCATCGCATATTAAACGTACAATTGTGTATTATAACGAATTCTTTGATAAATTTATATTAGGCAAAATACTTAAACATGGAGTGTCAAAAGTGTAAAAAACCATTGTCTAAAAGAGGAACACATTTCCACTGTAATGGGCAATGCCAAGGTATTTTTCATAAAACTTGTGTGAAGGGACTGGCAGCTGATTTAAAAGCGGGTAGGAGCCGGCTGTTTGTTGTTCAGCAGGCATGTATTAAAGTCTCCCATAATAATTGTATGATTAAAAGATGGTGTAAGATCTTCTAGAAGTTTTTCTAAGGAGGAGAAATAGTTAATGCGCATGGAAGGGGAATAATAGACTCCGAGAAGT